CGGCTCGCGAGGAGCGCGGGGCCGCGCCGCGCTCGGGCGCCAGCAACGCCGCGTGCAGCTCGCGAGGGAGAAGCCGCTGCGATGCCGAGCGAGCGCCCTTCAAGGGGGAGCCACTCGGCAACTAAATTTGATAATGCTTTTGTTTGCRGGTCAGGGGTTAAATATGTTCACACTAATCCCCTTCATCTAGAGTTAACGGACAAGCAAGATTTTTCTGTAGCCGGGCAAGAGGGCTTTTCTCATCGCTCTCCAAATAGTATTTGCACAGCGAAATTAATCGCAGCCCGTGGGCCGCTGGCTGTACGTGCGGGCCTGGCGCGCTCCGGCGCCCCGTTTACGTGTTTGGTGCTTTTCCGGCGAGCCGGCCGGCGCACGCGAGCCCCCGCGGCCCCCGCCGATTGCACCTCCGCGCGCCCGCGCCGCTTTGAAGTCCGGCCACTTTTTTTGTTTCTGTTTAATTTAGAGGCTACAAAAAGGAGTGATTTGCAAGGCCGCGAGATTCCCGCTTGCAGGAATGCGCGCCCCGACTCGGATTTCAAGCACTGTCACAGAACATTACTGTCACACAAAGGGGCTCTGTGCCGCGCGCTCCACGAGCCCCGCGCATCCGCGTGAGCTTGCGCTGCGCCACTCACCCGCCGAGCTGCYGCCACCAGCTCGCTGCTTACCCAGGTGCCAGCTCGTGGTGAGGTGGTTAGGAGGGCGCTTGGCCTCGCCCTGCGCCGGAGCCTTGGCGAGGAAGCGGCGCTTTGCACAGCGAAACGGGCCGCGAGAGCATGCCGTGGGTGCAGGGCAGCAGGCCGAGCAGAGGGGCATGCCAGGGCCGTGGGGTCCCGGCTGGGCAGTTTTCCTGCATTCTGGAATGCACACTAGAGCACTTTTCAAGGCGGGAGGCTGGAAATAGACGGGAGGGCGCAAGTGGACACACATACACGGTGGGGGCACAACTCAGGGCGACCACCATATTGGCCGCTCCTGCAGATGCCATAAAGASTTCTTGCCCCACAGCCCTGCGCATTGCAGGGTGTCTGCACCACTGGCACCACATACTGCGGGGAGCTCTTTCAGCAGCTCCCCCTGGGCCAGTTCCTGCTCTGCCTACCCCAGGAAACAATTGCCCACGGGCTCTGCGGCTCCGTGAAGAGACCAGGAGCAATGCTGGGCACCCTCTCTGCACGTGCAGCACCCAAAGCTTTGCCAGACAGGGCAGCGCCGCACTGGAGGCCAGAGCTATTGCCTGAGGTTGGCACGTGCTTCCCGCTCCCTTCAGCTCCAAAATCCAAGCGTCAGATTTTCCCATTGGAGTGCGCCGTGACGCGCTCCTCCTGCTTGATAGCAGCCGCGTCCACACGCGAACCGCAGCACGTAAGGCCYGAGCCCGCAAACACGGCACGCAGCACACAGCCAACACGGCACTACCTGGCCCCGCAGCAGCGGGCACAGCCCAGCAAGAGCTTCCTGAGCGCCCCTCGATYGCAGCAACTTCCCACAGACGAACGGCACGTGCTGCACACAGCAACGCGGGCTGGGCAGGAGTGGGCTGCCCCACGGCACGGCACAGCAGAGCGCGCAAAAGCGAGCGAGGGGAGCACAGCCCGGCAGCCCTGCGCTCCCGCACATGCAGCTTCCCTGCTCGTCATGAAGAAGCAAGGCGTTTACGGCTGCCTGGGCTGCACTCTTACCCCATTACGGTGCAGACGGAGCAGCGCTTCCCCCAGGGCTGCAGCACACATGGTGACCCGCACGCAGCGTAACCGCTCTGCTCGGCCTGCAGCAGCCGGCAGGACAGTGGCAGYGATGCAAGCGCCGCGTGGGGCAGCTCCCCGCGCGAGCTGAGCGCTCCCCGCACACGAGGCAGCAACAGAACCGCACAAGGAAGCACGTCCGTGCGCGCGCACCGGGGCTGCCGGCAAAGGGCTGGGCGCGTGGCTGCTCCGACCCCCAGCGCGGCAGCCCCCCCGGCCCCGCTCTGCTCCGCTCATCTCTGCGCTGCTCTGCCTGCCGCGCGCCCCCCCGGCTCACGTAGCCGGAATGAATGGGCCGGCAGAATTGCCGTTAMACACGCTTAATACTGCAGGACGTTATCTCCGTCTATGGAAAAAAAAAATGCGTTCTGATAGGATTTCGCCCATCAGCTTAATCAAGCTGCTCTCTCCAAACTCTCTGGAGTACCGTGAAACAGTAATAGAAAGTCATAGGCAGCCGGAGAAGATTTTATATTTGCTTCATTAAGGAAGCGCGCGGGCGGCTGGCTGCGCTGCTCGGCTAAGGGCGCGGGGCTGGCAGGGCACAGCCTGCCCGGAGCTGCTGCTCTCTGCAAGCGAGCGGGTGCGTGACGCGAGGGATGCGCATACGGAGCGASGGATGGGCGCGCGGAGCAAGGGATGGGCGCACGGGCAGCAGGGTGGCAGCGCCGCAGGGAGCCGCACCGGCCGCGCGCTCTGGGCACCGACGAGCGGCGGCATCGGGAACGGGAGCGCGGCGCCGGCGCCCTCGCCTCCCTTTGTACCTCCGCCACCGCACTACTGTTTTGAATCTCTAAAATAATGTGACAAGTTAATGATGGCACAATTATCTAAATGTTTAACAGACATGTTATCTAAGTGAATCGGATTGCGATTCCATCCCGCTGACAATAAACATCAATGGCAGAGCAGAAAGTGATAGGCAAATTATCGCAAACCCTGCAATTTCAATGCTATTAAATTTGGAGGAATAACAGCCCCGAGGCCTGTAAACTCCGAGTAAAATAGACCCTTGTGTTTGTCCAACTATTAAATCAAAATGCTACCAACAGACCAGGAAAGGAAAAGGGGGGAAAAAACAGAGATTTATAGCTTTTCAATTTTCAGTTACACATTGGTTTCATTAAGTCCTGGCCCTTGCTCGTGCCGGCAGCGGCACCTAGGGCAGGCGACGGCTGCAGGGAGGGAGCTGGGGCCGGCCGGGCGCGTGGGCGCGCGGGGCCACTGCAAAGCGCGGCGAGCGAGGGCGCTTCCTGCAGCGCCCGCGCGCGCCCCAACGGCTCCGTGGCTCAGGAGGAAACCCAGAGCTTCCTTCCTGCGGCCGCCGCTCYGTGGGAGCTCGGGGCGTCGGGGCGGAGGAGGAGCTGCAGAAACGGCAGCTCGGGGCGGGCGGCCGCGCGCGGTGCCCGGCTGCGCTTCTGCTGCAGAGCTTGCGAGCTGCGGCCACCACCGCGCGGGCCACGGGCCGGGCACACAGCCCAGGGCCCCGGCGCCCGGCCTCCCCCCCGCACCTGCCCCGCGGCCCCGGCTCGGACGGGTGCCACGAGCAGCGCGGCTGCAACCGCCCGTGCAGGGGGGCACGGCTTGCAGTGGGGAGGGCAATTACCGGGAGATTTATTAGCTGGTGCTTGGCCAGCAAACTTTCCAGATCAGATGACGTGGCCAAGCTATTGCTGTCCAGTGATGCAGCAGTTTTTATTTCTGATCGGTCATTAGAGCCGCTGGCATCAACGGGTCGCGCTGCCCACATCGAGGCCGCGGCCCCGCGTCAAGTTTCCTCCTCAGCATCTGAGGTCAGCCATTAAGGCCCCATTTATCAGCCTTTGCTGGGTTACACCTCGAGCTCGCCGCAATTTGAACATTTCCTGATACAATGGAAGCAAAGGGCTGCATCCTTGCTATGGACTGGGGCCCAACAAGGAACGGACAGATGTGCAGGAGCTGCAGGAGCCTGCGTTAAAAACGCGCAACCTGCTAACACAGAGCCGAAGCGCAGAGGAAAACWGGCGCAAACACGCAGCAAGGAAGCGGGAGGATTCCTGGGCTGCGGCCCCGCGCACGCCGCTGCCGCCAGCACCGCGCGCACGCGGAGCGGGACCTACCGGTGTGCGTCTGCCGGTGCGCGTCCAGGGCGTCTTCCTTGGAGAACTGCGCGCCGCACTGGTCACACACGAACGCCTTGGCGCCCGCTGCAAGGCAAGGGGAGAGGCTCGTTAGCGGGCAGCTCGCAGCGGGCACCGTGCGCCACAGCGCTCCACGCTGCCGCCCATCGTCTCCACTGCTGCCACGCTTGCCCCAGGAAGGGCTAGCGTCCCAACCGCCCTGCCCCTTCCCGAAGGGAGCGCGCCGGAGCCGGCGGCACGGCAGCCGCTGCAGCAGCGGCACCCTCTGCAAGCGCGCAGACTGTGAACGTMGCGCTCTGAAAATGGGTATTTGGGCAGGGAAGGGGCTGAGCGTTTCGCTGCCCATGCACAGCCGCAGGAGGCAGCCCCCCGACCTAATCCCCGTGTTGTGTTAGCTCCAAATAATAATGTCGCGCCGCGGCCCGCTATTGACACTCGCGCGCTCCTTCGCACCGGGAGCAGCTCGCCAGCGAGAAATTAAATATTTGCTTTTTACAAAATCATTAGACACCGGAGCGTTTCAGCGGGGCAGCAAGCGATGTCTCGGCCCCGCTCCCCTGCGGCCGCTGCGGCGGTGCCCACGGGCGCGCTCGGCGCGAGCGCTTCTCGGAAGCGCCCTATCGCCATGCGCCGCACAGGTCACCGGTGCCGCTCGCACCGGGGAAAAACAGGATGTCTAGCAGCAGATAAGGAGCTCGCAGATAAAAATAGATTAACAATGTACGCGCGCCCGGAGCTCGCAGAGCCGGTACAGCGCCGCGCGCACCGCCACATCGCAGCCCTTCATTCCTCGCTCGCTGCGCGGGAGGCAGCGCGATGCGGCGGCGGCGCAGCGGGCACCGGGCACCGTGCAGCTGCCTCTCCTGCCCGCGCCAACGGCCACGAGCAGAGGGGCTGCCTCGCAGTCCCACGCCCCCCGCGATGGGCACCGAGACGGGGCGCTCCAGGAAGCGCCTTCGCCTTTAAATCCTCCTCGTGACGGCCGCCTCACGGGCAGAAATATTTGGCAGCAGTGAAATTAAAAGTGATAAATTTTCTCGCCAAGCTGTGATCGATAATAGAGGTCTCATCTGTTAATCAATAAGACAGTCTGCCTGTTTACTGTGCATAGGCCGTTGCCTCGCCGTGCCGGCACGGGGGGACGGCGGGCGGGTGGCGCTGCCACGCGCGGTGCCGCCGGCAGGAGCCGCGGCCGCAGCGCCTGCACGCAGCGCCAGCACGCGGCGCGCTCGCCAGCATCCCCGGCGGGAGGAGGCGAAACATTCCTCGCGATTTTAAAATAAACATCTTGGCTGTTCTGATGAGATATGCACGCGCGGTTACATAAGGAAGTACAGCGTGTACCAAAACAGCGTCCCCAAAAAAGCACGAGCTGTCAGAACAATGCGTCCCGGCGCGGGGCACTCTGCAGCCCGCCCCGCTGTACAGTTTTATTTACAGTACCTCTTATCAGCGAGGGAACAGCRCGCGGCTGCCAATTTCCAAAGGCCAGCACTGCGTGTTCCCTCGCTCGAGTGGCCGCGCGGCGCGGGCGGGCGGGCGCTGCGCGGCAGGAGCGCGCGGCCCGGCACCGCCGGCATTCCTGCCCCGCGCTCCCGCGCTCCTTCGCTCGCGCACCCGCGGCCGCTGCGAGGTTAATTTTACTACGTGACTCACCGGGAAAAATGTCATCCAGCATCGCGGCTTATTATAACCGGCTTGGCGAAAACACTCGCTTGTTTACTGAGGAGAGCGGGAGCCTGCGCAGAGCGAGACGTGCAGGGCTCTGCCGCGGCCCTTGTGCCGCCACTGCCGCCTTTCTCCTGTCTCCCCCTTTCCCTTCTCCTAAGGCTCCTTTCAGGCTCTCCCCTTCACTGCATTAAACAGAGCAGCAGCTCCCTCTCGCCCTCACGGGGGTGGCACGGGCTCCCGTGCGCTTCTGATGCACAACAGGGCCACGCTGTGGGGCACCCGTGGGCACCGGTGCTCTGCAGCAAAGCCCTGCCCCATGGCAGCTTACAACGTGAGCTCCCCGGCTCAAAGCCTGCGCTCTGCTGCCGGCGATCCTAAGCGAGCCGGACACATTCCCAGCGCCTTGCGGGAGCTAGGCGGACAGAGAGAAACGTCCTCCCCGAGGCGGACACCCTGTGCCTCGAGCAGCCCCCACAGCGCCCAGGGCACCTCGCAGAGGGTGCAGATGGGGACGCCAGTGTTGACAGCCCCATCGTGCCCCTTCCATGCCGCAGTGCGAGCACACCGCCGGGGTGCTGCGACGGGCTCCCCGTGCCACCCAGCACCGGGCACCCATCGCCCACGGGCCGCGCCGACCGCCGCAGCCCGTGACGGGCAAGAGAGGGAGAGCGCGGAAAAATATGGATTGGAAACATGGCCGGGGAAATTTATGCACTGTCGTCGCTTTACTACCTAATTAATTCAGTAATTTCACAAACAATTTTATTTATGTTCCATTTACCACATCAAAAGTGCAAAGAGGAAAAAAAACCCAAACCCGCCGTGATGCTAAAATAATACCTCGAGGCATCTCTTTTCAATCAGCAGAGAGAATGAAAGGGGCCGAGGCGGCGGCGAGCGCGGCCGCTGCCTGCCCAATCTCTCTCGGGCAGACCACCAGCTCACGGAGAGGGAAAACAGCCGCGGCCTCGGCGAGTGCCTCCCTGGCTGCCGAAAACAGAGCTTGTCAAAAAAAACAAATCCATAATGGCCCGAGGCTCCTCTCCAATCTATTTTCTGCTCAGCTGGTTTTAAATGAAGTTATTATGAGTCATTAAAACACCCGCAAGCCTGTGGAAGTCAGCCAATTACAATTTTAAATTTAGCCCGTTCTCTACCCCGTTCTCTTGTTTTCTGCCGTTGCCCGCATAAAGCCTCCTCGCCCGCTCGATTAGGAGTGTTGTTGTTATCGCTGCCCTCCTCCCCGGCCGCAGCCGTGCTCTCTGCTCCGCTCGGCGCAGCGGGCGCTTCGCACCAGGCCGGGCGCGCGGGGCGCAGGCGGCAGCGCCCGGGGCGAGGGACACGCGGGCGCCACGGCCAGAGGCCACCGCGGCCACCGCTGCCGCCGCCGGGACCTTTGTCCGGGGCCAGGCGGGCATCACAGGTCACGCACGCTCGCCCAGGGGTTGAATGGCCCCGGTGCCGTGCGCTGCGCTGCCTGTCGTGGTGCCACCGCTGCCGCGCACCGAGGGGACGCTCGCCTGGGGACATGCGTGCCCGAGGCAGCTCGCGGGCCCCCGCAGCGCCAGCCCTGCGGTCCTAGGGACGGAACGGCAGCAAAGGGGCGGCGGGGCTCAGGTGGCAGCGCCCGAGCAGGAGGGCGCTCGGCCGGGCCCTGATCCGGGCACCTCTGCCCCAAGTGCCACGTCCCTCCACGCCGGGAACAGGCGCCCCGAGAGCCGCCTCTCCGAGGGAAAAAATGACAAGCGCAGCCCCGAAGGCGGCCGCCCGTGTTCTGCTCAGAAAGCACACAGTGTACTATACAGCCCATAAAACTCCAAACAGCCTCCAGACACTTCTGCAATCGTCCTCCATCAAAACACTTTGTCTTGCATACAAAAATAAGCGCCAGCGCCGCGCGGAATACCAAATCAGCCCATTACAGTAGGCGCAGGCTGCTCCTTAGCAACGAGGGGGCTTTAAAGCCGCGATGCTCTACAGGAAACAAAATCTGTCAAGCCTGTTGGGCAAATGATAAACATTAGCAGTATTAAAAAACACAAAAGCCATGGAAATGGTGCGAGCGCGGCGCGGGGGGGCCGCTGGGGCCCGCGCCCGTGCCCGCGCCGTGCAGGGGGCYGTGTCCGGCCCGCGGGGCGCGCAGGGGAGCGCGTGGGGCGGCCGGCCCCGTTCGCCGACGCGGGCAGCCCCACGGAGCGGCCGACGCGGGCGCCGGGCGCCCGGCAAGCGCCTTCCCCAGGTAACGGGGGGAACGGGCGCTGGCTCCGCGTCCGCAGCTGGCTCCAGGACGGCAGCCAGAACGGGAGCTCGCAGCGCAGCGCGTCCTGCCGCGCTRGGGGGGCCCGGCGGCCGGGGGGGCCATGTATTTTTCATCAGCCAGTGTATAATTTATAAACAGCATTAAACAGTTTTTGTTTTCCTTTTCCCCCTCTCCGGTGTCTGAGGGCTGGCCGGCAGTCAAGCCTGCATTAATTTCTGCTTTGGGTACAGTGTGTTCTTGGATGCACATCTGCGAGTGATCATAAACTCTCTGGAATGCTGGCAGAACATCCAGACCTGCCGGCAAGCCGGTGACATCACTCTGGGAATAAGTTTGGGAGGGCGGCCAGCGCGGGGGAAGGGCGCGGGGGGAGGCCGCGGGCGCCCCGCGGAGCCTCGGCCGCCCGGCGCGGCGCGGGGCACCCGTGGGCGCTGTTGCCCGCCACGCTCGCCCATGGCCCGTTGGTGTCCTGGGGAGCAGCCCGCACCATCGTGCGGCATGAGCCTGGCGGCTCTGCGGCGAGCAGGGGGCGAGGGAACCGGAGYTGGGAGCAGAGCGCACAAGGGGACCCACGTGTGCCCGTGGCGAGGGCTGCTCGGACCCACGGGTATCTCACAGCAGTTGACTGCTGGTAGCACCCAGCGGGGGCCCCGCAGCCCAGGCACTGAGCAAACCTGCGTACACGCTGCCCAGCCCCGCTCGGCCCGCGCCGGGGGTGCGGAGCGGAGCAAAGGTCCGTGTCCCTACACCCCGCGGGCACTGGGGCTGTTTTGAAGCAGTGCTCGCCTGCGCCGCGCCCGAGCGGAGGGGAAAAGCTCCCTGCGCGCGATGACGAGCTTGGCTCGGCGCGCACTGTACATACTGTACCCGCAGCGCTGGCAGCCGGCCAGGCACGGGCACCCGGCCAGAGCCACAACAACAAACACAAGGCGCGCGCGGGGCCGGGGCGCGCGCCCGGCCGCGCCGAGGCTCCCCGCGAGCAGGGCCGACGCGCGGCGATGGTGGCAGCGGAGCTGGCAGCCCCCGCTACCCGCACTCCTGATGCACCCACCACAGGCACCTCGGGCCATGCAAGGGTGCGGAGCACGCTGCACTCACCGTAGTGCATATGCCACCCTTCTGCATCTTTTAATTAAGGGACCTGCATAATTTGGAGCTGGGAGCTGGATTCATTGGGCAGAGGGTACCTCGCTCCGCAAGAGCTTTGCTGATGAAAGCAGCCGAGCGCTCACACACGAGCGTTGCCGCAGCGGTGGCCGGGCACGCGAGCAACACGGAGCGAAGGAGGCGCCTGCCCTGGCCGTGCGCGGGCGGGAGGGCACGTCCGGCGCCGCACAACAAGCACCGCGCGGCACGCGGAGTTTGTTATTCCAAGCAGCTTAGCCCAGAAAACATTCCCCCAATTAAAGAACTGAAAACAAACGGGGAAAGCAAAYGCGGGCGGCTGGCAGCGGGGCGGGAGCTCGCAGGGAAGCGCCGCCCGCGAGCCCGAGGCGTGGGCACCTCCGCGCGCGCTCGCCACGTACCTGAGTGAGCCAGTAAGTGCATCCGCAGCCGCAAGCTGTCCAGAAAGCGCTTCCCGCACAGCTCGCAGCCATACGTCTTCATGGCGCTGTGCAGCTTCCTGCGGGGCAAAGGGAGATGGGTTAGCGCTGCCGCTCGCAGGGCTGCCCGCGAGCGCTCCGCGCCCGCACGCTCCCCCGCGCGCGCCGCCAGTGCCGGGCGGCACAGCGCACAGGGCACAGCCACACGCCACGGGCTCTTAGACCCCGAGCCCTCGGGAGGCGGCAAGGCCAGCAGAAACCAGGGGCAGAGCCCACGTCTTTCCGCTCAGAGCTTCACTGTGTAACGCAGTTATTAGCGGAGCTTGTCCGGATCTCCCTGTGTCAGAGCAGAGGATTTAGAGCCCTGCACAAATCCAGGCCAAGAGGGTTTACACTCCGAGGGCTTTATCTGCCCTGTGGAAATAAACCCTCCCAGGCTCCTGGCGGGTCTCCGCTGCAGGAAGCCACCTGCACGAGGGCAGTCCCCTCGTTTCGCGCTGTTCCTCGTGGACAGGCCCGTCCGCGCTGCGCAGGGCGAGGGCCCGGCCCCGCGCGGCGGCGAGCGGAGCATCCGCGTCCTCCGCGGCACGCGCCCTCGCCGCGCTCTATTCACCATCTCGCTATCACCAAATTTGCAGCGGGAACAACCGTGTTCCGTTCGACGCCAGCTTGTAGGCCCATCTTATCGCTGCCAATCTCATCCGGCCTCTTTCAACAGGGTCTTAAAGCTCTTTATCTGCCGGGCTCCTGCGAGCAAAATATGATTGAAATGTTCTATTTCTGCCCGCTGGATTAAGGAGCCGGTGCAACGCGGCACACAACGCCGGCGGATGTAAGCAAGGTATTAGAGCTGCTCGCGCTGCGGAGATCCGAGGGGAAGGATCGATACGCGGTGCCGCCGCTTGCCTCAAGTTTGCCTTCAAAGCCGGGGAGGACAAGGCACACGAGATAAGACCCCTGAAAGACATCCAGCCCTTTGGCATCCCCAGGGCCGAAGGGGCTGCGCTCACCCGGCCCGCTGCTAACACCGAGGCCCCGGGAGCCGTCCTGGGAGCGAGCAGAGGGAAAGGGAAGCGCAGCACCAGGGCAAGACGGGCGGCCGCCCCGCGCTGCCAGCGCATCCCGCCCGGCCCGGCGCCACCGCGTGCTCCCAGYGCACCTGACTACCTTTAAGTATATATTTTTCCCCTCAAATAGACTGAATGCAATGGTTAGGAAATTTGACAGAAAACTATTCTGAGCCATTTATTGCCTTAATACGCACCTTTGTCCAACAGGCAGTTTTGACAAGAGCGATAAATTCCAAATTTATGTCAACAGAGCATATGTTGAACACCTCATTTCTGAGCTAAAGCGGCATGCTGCCCCATAAATCACCGTTCTGTTTGAAATGAAAGTAGATTACAGGCCTGTGTTATTGAGCAGTTAGAGCTATAGTCGTATAAATCAGAACTTTTAACTCTAGGCGATCCGCGGCGCAATTAACTGAGGGGCACTTTGTCATTCCCGGGCTCGCACGGGCCCGGCAGGACGCCCGGGAAGGGCAGGAAAGGCGGACACCCGCGCGGGCGGCACGGCTGGCTCCGAGCCCGCCGACCCACGCACGGAGAGGGGCAGAACGCGCGCGGAGCCGTGCGCTCGAGGGGCAGCGCCCGGAGCACCTGCCTGYGCCACCGCTTCTCAGGAAGGAAGGGGCCCCAGGGCACACGCCCCCGGCCCTTTATTTCTGGGCAGGTAACGAGGGAATTCAGCGCAGCCGCCTGCCAGGGCGCCCTCGCAGTGAGCAGCACCTGGGCCCGCCGGCCCCGGGCTGCTCACGGTGCCTTGCGCAGGCGGGCCGGCCCGCGGCCCTCCGTGCCATCTGGAAGGTTACCACCCTCGTAAGTAGCAGCACTATAAAAAGATTCAGGCTCTAAGTATTTCCTTTCCTATAAAATATTCATTGCCGTGCGCGAGAGCCAAGGAGCAGAAACCTCAAGCATTTCTAACTTTGTACTGCAGTAATAACAGAGTTTTATAGGAGCCTTCTGATTTTATTTATATCGGGCTATAAATACGTTGCTCCGTCCGACGGAGCGCGGGGCGGACAGGCGCCCTTGCCGGCGCGCTGCATGCGCGGGCGGCGAAGCCGGGTGCCCGCAACGCGCCCGCCCGCGAGGGCGCTGCTGCTGGCGCACGCGGCAGGGCGCAGCTGGCGCCGGCGCTGCCGAGCGCCTCCCTCGCCTCTCATCAAGGGACGCGCGGCGTTCGCCCTCCCGCCTCCCCAAGTCAGTATGAAAATCAATTCGCGCGCTGATACGTTTTATCGAGATACACGCGGCGATGCCACATTTCATTTATGGCGCAGATGCTGCGGGAAGACAAGGTCACTGGCTGCACAAGCGCCGGCACAAACCGCATGAGACATCACCCGCAAATGGAAAAGGAAGCGAAACGAGGAGCAGGGATAAGGACGGAGCCAGGGGCGCGCGCTGGGGCCACCCCGCAGGGCTCCCACTCCCAGGGGCCAAGGCCAGGGCGAGGGGAGCCTGGAGCCCGAGGGTGGCCCCGTTTGAGGGGACGTCCCGCGAGGGAACCCAGCGCCGGGCAGAGGTGCTCTTGGGCCGCGGTGCGCGCAGCCTGGGGTTAACGCACCCCGCGGCCGCCGCGAAGAGCACGCACAGCGCGCGCTGCCGCCACGGCCAGCAGCGCCCTGCCCGCTCCTTGGGCATCTGCTGACACCGGCGTGCTGAAAAATAAGTGGAGAGTGTTTGCGAGCGCGGGTTACACTGACCCTGCAGGGCCGCGCTTGGCACCACGCTTGTTTTGACTCGTAAGTTGAGCAAACATGACATGCGTGTCAGAGGTGTCAAAGAGAACGGCAGCAACTTATTTTTCCAAGCCCGAACTTTACACGGGAAAGCAAAGTGCCCTTAAAGCAGAATACATCTGCCGCAGCAGTGCGGCCGCTCTTCCCATGTTTTGATTCCTAATTCAGAAATAATAAGCGGTTCAGGGAGTCCAAGTTTAAAAATACCTCCCTCAGCTGCTCTCGCTCGCAGCACAGAGCTGGAGCCGCGGCCTGCGGTGCTCGCGCCCGCGCGCAGGGCCGGTGCACGGCGCCGCGGCCACGCGCCCCGGAGCCGCCGCGCGGGGACGCGCCGCGGGAGCGCTCGCGCCTCCTGCCAAGCGGCACCCCTGAGCACGGCCAGTTTTATAAGGCAATCAAATATGCAAGAGATTCCGCAAACTAATTTCAGGAACACACCTGGGGTCCCCTGATAATGTCGGTGGTGCCTGCGCAGCGCAAGGATTAACATTTCATAGAGTCATGATTTCATCAGCCACTAAACTACAAAGGATTAATTAACAGCCAGGCAAGAGCTCCTGGGCTCCGAGTACAGTCTTAAGGAAATATCTATCTCTGCTCGCCAGATGTCAGCGCACATCCGAGCAGCGCTTTGATGCGCGCGCTCCGCGCCCGGCGCGGCTCCGAGCGCGGGCAGAGCTCCGCGCACGGAGGCCCCGCGGGCAGCGCTCGTGCCACGGCGCGAGCTGGTACGCGGCGCGGCACGGCCTCCGAGTGCGCAGAGCTGCACGGCACGGAGGCTGCCCACAGCACCTGTGCCGTGGGGCGCTTGCCAGGGAGCTAGCACCGYGCCGGGTGCACACCACGCGCTTCCCAGCGCACCCAGCCATCCTGGCCCTGCCGTTCACGGCCCTCGTGCGACCGGCGTGCTTGGGAGCGGCCCCCCTCCCCTACATGCACAACAGGTTCCATGCAAATTCCCGAGCTTTTAAATTATACTGGTAATGAAAGCAAATAAAGGCAGTTAAAAGGCAATTTGCTCAATTGGTGCTAATATTTACGCACAGCATGCGCAAGAAGCAAGATCCGAGCAGGCACTTTTTCCCCAAGAAAACTTTTGGCGGCGCCTGCTCGGCGGGCAGCACGCGAGGCGCGCGGGCCCCGGGCACGGCGCGCGCCGCCTCCCCATGCCCTGCGCTCCTGCGCTTTCAAAGCAGCGCTGCCCCTGAATGAGAACTTGGTTTCTAATGGTTGGAAATATTTTGTACACTCTGCTGCTCCCTCTGTATCCCTTTGTCGGGGCCGCGGGCGCCGCGCTAAAGCGCGCACCAAAAGACCATCTGTAGGCACCGTCTTTACAGAGGGGTTTAAAGAGGGGGATGAATGAGCGCAGGAATTAATGAATGATAAAGCCGTATGGTCTCAGTCAGCCTCCTACGCCTCCGTGCCGCATTCAAACCCTCCCAGCCTTCTGCCACAAAGAGAGGTTTCTAAGCTACAAAAGGGGGGAAGCAGAAGAAAGTGTCTGTGTGTGTCTGTGTGCGGGCGTGCGCGCGAGCGGGGCTTCACGAGCAGACCCAGCAACTTGCCTCTAAGTTCCCTGCAGCTCCCTGCGCGGCGGCCTTGGGGGAAAAGGGTCCTGCTCCCTCGATGCCGAGAGCAAAGGGGGGTTCCTCAGTGCCTGAGACCTCTGGCCTCGTGCAGGGCCAGGCGCAATCACAAAGGCCGCTTGCCGGTKAACGGCAGGAGCGCTCCGCGGAGCWACGCGCCCGGCAAGCGGGAAGGCTGGCACGAGCTCGGGGACCCTGCTTGGCCAAGGAACCGGGTAAGGACAGGGCGCTCTGCGCCACCCAGCAAGGTCAAGGAGGAGGAGGAAGAGGCAAGAGAAAGGATGCCCAAGGGCCGGAGCTCGCCCATGCGCACAAGGCACCACAAGCAGCACAAGCGCGGGGAGCGCACAGCCGGCATGGGGGCAGCTCGTGCTCCCACTGCCCGGCCGGGCCTCCTCCCCCGGCCATTTGGTACGGATTAGAGGCCTCCATTAAGAGCTCACAAACCTTAAAAGGCCCTAATGGGCTTTTTGAGGAAGGGGTCGCAGCGAGGCTGCACTCTGTCCATTACAGAGCGGCTCCAAAAGGCGCCCCGGGCCCGCGAGGGCCCGCACTGCTTCCCGGTGCCGCCACGGAGCAGGCGCAGCCGGCGAGGCCGAGCACGCGGGGACGCGCGGCCAGGGCGAGGTAGCAGAGGGCAGGGCAGGGCGCGCGGCACCACGACGTGCAGCGACAGGAGGCG